TCCAAAGAGAAAGGACAACTTGAAATCGCATCATATGACCCCTTTAAATAATCCAAACAAAATTACATCTGAATTTGACAGCTATTAATTACCCTTCATTTTTGTTGAACAGAAAGTGCTGCTTTAATTTTATTTAAAAAAAAAAAGTCATACAAGTTTTGAGTGATGTGAGGGTGAACATGATTTATGGAAGGTGCAACTTGATTGAACTGACATTTGTGATTGAGTGATGTATGACATAGGATTTTAGACAGTAGAGACACATTAAACTGAACAAAATTGACAGTAAAGACATTTATAATGTTACAAAAGATCTGTTTGCACTTTTTATTCATCCACGGATCTTGAAAAATAAAAATGCATCATGTTTCCACATAAATATTAAGCAGCACAGAATGATTTCTGAAGGATCATGTGACACTGAAGACCGGAGTAATGCCTGCTACAAAATTAAGCTTTGCCATTACAGGTGTAAATTACATCTAACTGTATTTTATGTATATGCACAAATGTATTTTACATTCACAATATTACTGTTTTTACTGAATTCGCCCCCCCCCCAAAAAAAAACAACAACAACAACAACAAAACTCAAAACCATAAATTAACACGCACAATTATTTTAGGTAAAAAAATAAATAAATAAACATTTTAAGTGAAAAAAGTTTGGGGTTGGTAGTTTTTTGTTGTTGTTGAAGATACCATATTTTGTTTTTGAAAGGGACATTTAATATCCATCCGGGTGAATGGACATGATGCTTCAGGCAGTATGTATTTTTCTGTCAGGTCATAACTGTGTGTCTCATATCCCCTTTACTCTTCCAAACAGCTTTAGCTGAGCTCGTGTCATTACAGGCTGTCAGAGCTCCAGTATAAAGTTCCAGCCTCGCCTATTGATCTGTGTGCCAAACGCTCTCCTTGCTTAGAATCAGAGCTGTGTGTGTGTGTGTGTGTGTGTGTGTCCCTTACACCCATTTTGCGTAAATGTATTTGCAGAGGCTCATAAATTACCTCTTTGCTCGTTCCCCTTCTCTGTTCCTCACATCTGCGTACCCAGGGCCGAAACGGATGAGAAAATCAGGGAACTGGAATGAGGGAATGAAAGTGTGCGAGAGAGAGACTGATGAGGGAGAGGGAGAATGAAATGGGTGTCAAGGGCAATGAAATAGAGAGGAACATTTTCTTCACTTCACCTAACCAAGAAAAAACAACAACAACGAAACGGAGAAAGACATTTACGGTCTGTTGTGAAAGATAAAACAAGCTTCTTTCTGGCTTGTTCTGGCTTGATGTGGGAAGGTTTATGAGAGGTGAAGAGAGCTCAAGTAGCCGTCCAGTTCCTCAGGCTCTGCTGTTTTTAATGCAGTCTGGCGTCTCCAGCCAGATGAGCCGTGAAAAACATGGCTTAGACGATGTCATTTCCGAAAAGTCGCACTACATGAGTCATGACTGTCAGGAAGAGATGGAAGGAGAAATAAATGAGAAAAGTATTGTAGAATGATCTTCTACAGTGGAGCTCGGAGACGGAGGAATGACATATACGGTATATATATATATTTTTTAAATACCACATTGTTCACTAGCTGCTCTCATCCATTTAAATTGTATTTTTATCCCCTTCTGGCAAATCCTTACTTTCCTCCAAATTCAGCTCTTGCTGTCATCTTATTTTTCATCTCACAGTCTCTGTGCTCTCTCTCTCTTTTGTCCTGTCTGTTTGCATTACAACATACACTTGTAGCATCTCTCTCTCTCTTTCTCCATCCCTGTTTTTTTTATATCTTTCTTTTTCTTGTCTATCTCTTTCAGTCATGTTGCTTTTCTCAGTCCCCCTCCCTCAAGTGTTTGTGCCTTGAATGTTGTGCACACGCAAGCATTAAACTTAAGATGCCTCACACAGTTTCCATTACACATTTTCAGTGTGATGACAGTCAGTCGCCCGCCGGGCACCAAATACAGTATCTGTCATCTCCCCCTCTTTTCTCACTCTCTGTGTTCCCTTGCTCTCCCCTCTCTCGTATTTGATTCTTTCCAGTCTCCCCGTTCCTCCCTTTACCCACAATCTGCTTCTTGTATCCATCCATCACGCTCTAAGCGGAGAGGAGAGGAGTGGAGTATGAACGCACGCGGCAGGAGAGGAGAGAAAAGCGAGCGCGAGAGAGGAAAGACGGCACAGCGTTTCGTGAAGAGCAAGAGCGAACGAGCATCTCTCTCTCTCTTTACCTCAGTTTGCGTTTTTTACACGTGAAAGTGTGCGGGTATCTCTCTACCGGCTGAGTTATCGCTCGCGTGGATACGGCGAGGAGCGTGAAGCACCGGACGCGTGATGGTTTGGTTGGACTAGCGCGGGAAGCGCGAGACTAGTAGAAGCTGGTTATTAAACTCTCCGTCGACTCAGGATCAACGACAACATCTTCTCCAGCCCTCTCTGACCCGCCTCCCTCTGCCTCTCTCTCTCTCTCTCTCTCTCTCTCTCTCTCTCTATCTCTCTCTCTCTCACACACACACGCACACTCACTCACTCATGTAAGGCTGGATGTTGTGTCGTTTGGCTACGTGAGGTGCTAAGAATCGCCTTTGGATGTCCAGTGACCGTGTGTGTATGTGTTTATGGGGGATGGGATAGTTTTTAAGCTCTGTACTATTTGCTTTTCATATTTCATTTTAGTGTAAATAGCTTTATCGGCATGACTCTTAAGCAGTAATACTATAATGCCAAACTTGTTTCAGAAATATATGCTGTTTTTGCTCTGGGCATTGTCTTAACATCTTTTAAACAAGTGGGAGAAAGTTAGAGAGATATCTCTAGACGTAAAAGGAGGAGCTGGTGTAGAGAAGGAGGATCCTGGCATTTGGAGGGGCTGAAATGATGGAGTGGGTGGAGAGACAGACGGAGGGAAACCCTTGGGCAGCATCTTCCACTCCATTGTCACCCTCTCACACTGCTTAACTGGAGCAAGATCTGTTCTTCCTTCACTCAGTGATGTGTGTGTGTGATGTGTGGTCCAGCCTGATATTTATTTAAAGGAGTATCTCGGACTACTAGTGTTCAATGGACCCTGTCTTTCTCTTTCTGTAATGTATGTGTGTCGCTCTCTCTGATTGGACAGGAGACAGTTTGGCTATGATGTCAGGGGGTCTCTGTCTGAGCTATGTGTTAGTGTATATCTGCTGAAATTATTTTTTCTCTTCTTATTTTCATCATTTCTTCATACCTTCTTCCTTTGCGTTCTTATCTTTCTTTCTTCCTTTTACCTTCTCATGTTTATTTCTCTTTCTATCTTTTCTTCCTCCCTTCATCCCATCTTTCTCCTTCCTTGCTTCCTTCCACGCCATCATTTTCACCTTCCTCTCTTCTCTCTTTTTCCTTTCTGCCTCATCTTTCGTTCTGTCATTTCCTTCCTTCCTTCTTTCATCCCATCCTTTTTATTCTTCCCCTCATTGCTTCCTTCCTTTCACTTTTTTCTTTCATCCCATCTTTCACCTTTTTTCCTTCCTTGTTTGCTTGCTTTCTTCCTTTTTACCCAATCTTTTTCACCTTCCTTCCTTCCTTCCTGCCCGCCTTTCTTCTTGCCTTCTTATTCTTCTTTCTCTCTCATTTTCCTTCCTTCTTCTTTCTTCCATCCCATCTTCCTTCCTTCCCTCCCATCTTTCTCCTTTCTTTCCTTTTTCTATCCCATCTTTCACCTTCCTTCCTTCCCTCCTTACTTTCTGGCTGCTTTCCTGCCCGCCTTCCTTCTTGGCTTCTTTCTCATTTTCCTTCCTTCTTCTCTTTCATCCATCCCATCCTTCCGTCCTGTCTTTCTCTCTTTCCTTCCATCTTTCCTCTTTTTCTTTTTCTTTTTCTTTCAGTTTTACGTCTTCCCTTTCTTCTTTCTGTGTCTAAAGCCATTTCAGCTTCTTTGGTCAGTAGGGTTCATGTTATAGAAATCCTCTCTCTCACTGGTGTCTCAATCTTTTTCACCTTCCTTCCTTCCTTCCTGCCCGCCTTTCTTCTTGCCTTCTTATTCTTCTTTCTCTCTCATTTTCCTTCCTTCTTCTTTCTTCCATCCCATCTTCCTTCCTTCCCTCCCATCTTTCTCCTTTCTTTCCTTTTTCTATCCCATCTTTCACCTTCCTTCCTTCCCTCCTTACTTTCTGGCTGCTTTCCTGCCCGCCTTCCTTCTTGGCTTCTTTCTCATTTTCCTTCCTTCTTCTCTTTCATCCATCCCATCCTTCCATCCTGTCTTTCTCTCTTTCCTTCCATCTTTCCTCTTTTTCTTTTTCTTTCAGTTTTACGTCTTCCCTTTCTTCTTTCTGTGTCTAAAGCCATTTCAGCTTCTTTGGTCAGTAGGGTTCATGTTATATAAATCCTCTCTCTCACTGGTGTCTACATTCAGTTTTATGCTTTTTCATAAAGCCTTACAGTGTCACAGTGTCTCTTCATGTTTGTGTCAAACCCGCCGCTTCAAGAAACACTCTGTATTCCGTGATATATTATTGATGTGTCTGTAAAACTCTAATGAAGTGAAATATAGCCAGAATCAGATGCCAGAAGGTGCCTGTGCTTGAGCTGACAATCGCTGTGTGTCTGCCTGCAGGTGTGTGCGTGTCAGTGATGGACCTGAAGGAGGGCTGTGGAAGCGAGGCCAGCCGTGAGACCGAGAGCGGAGGCATGGGGAGCCTGGGAGGCCCCACGTCTTGGCAGTCCTTTGCCCATCGAAGCACCCTGCATGGTTTACGCTTCATCTTCCCCTACTCTTCCTCCTCCTCTCACCGCTCCACTTCACGCCGTCTGCTCTGGAGTGCGGCCTTGCTGGCCAGCCTGGTGCTACTTGTCCTGGAGAGTACCGAACGGCTGGCTTACTTCCTCTCCTACCCCCACGTCACGAGTGTGGATGCTGTGGTTTCTGGCAGCCTAGTCTTTCCCGCAGTCACCGTCTGTAATCTGAACGCCTACCGTTTCACGCGTCTCACGCAGAATGACCTCTACCACGCCGGAGAACTGTTGGCCCTGCTGGACGTGCATCTGCAGATCCCTGAGCCGCACCTGGCCGAGCCCCACGTGCTGGCCTTTCTCACAGAGAAATCCAACTTCACTAACTACCGGCCCAAGCCCTTCAGCATGCAGGAGTTCACTGAACGAGTGGGCCACGATCTGAAGGAGATGATGCTCTACTGCCGTTTCCAGGGCCAGGAGTGCAGCCACCAGGACTTCAAAACGGTGAGTTTCTACAAGGTGTTTCTTTTATAAGGTATTTTTTTGAGGCTCGCTAGACCTGGAAAAAATGTGTTCTGCTGTTGTGGACTAAAGCATTATGGGCTCAGTGTTGTTAGCTCTAAAGATTATCCTTGTTGCTCAGCTGTTTCAAAGGTTTGTAAAGAAATGATGATATTGATTCTTGCTGATGGTGTAGTTCTGGATGCTAAGCTGTGGAGTGAAGAGTTTTACTACTCTATTAAGCTACTCTCTGACTCTGTGTGCAGCTTGTTTTCACTCTATAGGTGCAGATGTTTTCATCTTAACTGTGATTCTGTGGAATGTTTAGGATTCATTGCATCTCTTTCCAAAACGCTACAAGGATTCAGAACAGGTTCTAGCTTAGGAACTGGTTTTCTCCAGAAATTATGTTTAAGACATAATGGCTCTGTCTCAAAAGGTCGCCGTGATTTTGCCAAGTAAGACATGTTCCTGGATCAACATCTTTTGTTGATCCTGGATCAACATAACTGTCCAAAAATATAGACTTAACCCAGTCCCTACCCATAATTTATTCCTAAAAACAGTGTGAAATGATAGCTGATTACCAAGGGTGTAGAAGCACCTGACCCTGATCGTAAGCCTAAAACAGATATTTCCTGAAAAGTTATCCCTTAATTCTGATTGGTTGTTAGGAATGTTGTTCCAGGATGAACAAGGATGTTGATCCAGGAACATGTTGTACTTGGTGAAATCACGTTCACCGTCTTAAAACCAACCACTGATGGCTTCCGTCTACATAAACTGCATCATAACTGAAACAGAATCTCATAAACCACTGATCTTCATAGGCAGCAACTTTCTTAACAGCCACTCAGGCACGTTCTGGTCCTCATGTGAACCTCATGAGACTCGCTGATGCTCTCGTCTCGTTCTGTTGTTTACATGTAGCCTGCTAATGATTCTGGAATAAAACAACTCTTTTATGTAGCTATTATCAGCATCTCCCTCGATCCTTCATCCACAATGTTCACTGAGCTCCTCGCAATGCATTTTGGCCAAGGAAGACGCAAACAAAACCATTTCAAAGTATATTTGGAAGCATTATTTGCTGACTACAAATTGAAGCAGCCTCGGTGTCAGCACCATGCCTACGGCAACAAGAAATGGTTTGTGAGACAGAGCCATTTACTTTTATAGGCTACATCAGAAATTAAATTGACTAGTTGTTGCTCAAAAATATATCAAGAAAGCTGTCACTCTAGGATATTCTCAAACGGGTTAAAGTGGTTTTAGTGGTTAAGTGGAGTAAAGATGTAAATGCTGGCCGCAGCTGTGTGTGAAGAATGTGTTTTTCTCAGCACTGAGGGCTGAGATGATAAGGGTTGATACTCAGTTGGAGTGCTGCTGTTCTCCTCAGGGGCTGAGGTCTGTTTATCCCCCCTCAGTCGCTACACGTGGGCACACAAGCACATTATAAACAAACTTGAACACACATGCCATGCACCAGCTTGCTTTCAGTTGCTTTGTGCTGTCTCTTCTTGTTTTCAATGATGATGTACAGTATGAGTCAATGTTTGCAGCAAACAGGCATTATAGTGTTCTTGCTGGTTTCTAACAAAAAGTAGTTCTCTACATTGAAGCTATTTAAGGGACTTTTTTTATATCAGAATGATTTTACAATATGTGACAGTATCTGATACAAAAATAGTGAGGAACTCAAGGACGAAGCATTAATTTGGATCAATTAATTAAGTATTAATTTGTATTGAATAATTTAATATAAATAAAGCTAATGGGACAAAAAGTTGAAAAAAACTCTTATGTAACTAGTAATGATAAACCACAGTTTTTTATTTGATATTTCAGTTTAAAAAATGACATGTAAAATGGCATGCAGGGACTTTCTGGCCCTGAATCTTTTTTTTGAACTGGTTAATTGAAAAGAACTGTCTGAACAAACCAATTTGCTAAAATGAATTGGACTTTCTACTTAGGAGAGAGAGACATTATGGGAGAGTGTGTTTAATGATTGGTTCAGCTGCCTTGTGACTTTTTTGGAGTAAAGTAGCTTGTTTTGTGAATTTATTTAGTATTTTGAAAATAGCCAAGATGTTGTTACACTGCTGAAAAATGTATCAAGGTTAAATTGAGTTCAGGTGCTAGTCGAGGGAATGTGGGCTCGTTCTTGTGGTGCCATCAGTCCATGAGTGTTTCCATGATGAGTAATTAGTCACATGACATTTACAGCTCGGATGATTGTTAGATGATCAGAAAGCCTACTTTCAGTAATGCAAGTAATGGTCATTAAAATGCGTATAAAAAATGTTAGTAAGTTTTACAAAAAAAACAAACTGTAAAAATGCTACAGTAAAAACTTTAAGTTACCTTACCATATATGGTAAAAATTGTGAATGATTGACCATTGCATTATGTGTAGTCAGTTATATGTCTAATTTACAATGAAAAACCTTAAAAGGACATTTCCAGTAGTCCCTGCGTGATGCATCACATGATTACATTTTATCATTTTATTCTGCTCATTTTTGTTATCAGTAATGTACATTAGATTGATTTGAGTCACATTTTCTGCTGTTTGGTAAATGTTTCTTGTATTATTTTAACATTGTGTGTTAACCTGGTGATGGTTTGTCTTTATGTATATGGCTCTGTGCATTGTCTGAGTTTTGGCCATGTTTTATGTACAGGTCACTTACAATGAACCCTGATTCATGTGGCTTTCTATTTTACCAGCTAATGGTGGTTATCTGTACATTTTAAGGTAAAAATCATCACTATAAAACATTATATCAGTTAATGAAATATATAGTATTAAGTTGTCAATTATCTTGTATTAACCATAAGCATTGCCATCATATCATTTGACTGTAAATGTCTGGCAATCACAACTGCTGAAGCCAGAATGATGTAAGCTTCTTTATATGTACCTTCAGAGAGCGAGAGAGAGAATGAACATATTATCACATGAGTCAAATGTACATCCCGTCTATATTACTGTATTGCCCTTGCTGTATTGTCATGACCCTCTGTTCACCGACACACTGAGAGGCCAGGACATCAAATGGCTGTGCAAGCCGCTTTACTTTAAAGATTTCCTCCATTTTTAAGATAAGTGCTTCACGTGTAGGCAGCAGATATCAAAGGCAGGAGTCAGTCTGTTATGGCATGACCTGATGAAATTGGTCACATGCAGAGCCGACCATGAACAGGATATTATTTGTATTGTGTCTGCATATTCCTTCTGCCCTGCATGTGGGCTGATACAGTAGGTGCTAATGTATGCTAATTGTCTGGCACTAAAGAATATAGAAGCACTCATAATGATTCCACAAGCGTGGATGAAGACATACTTTCTTTGTACTAGTTAAGTGCTTTTTTTCTGCTCAAACATGGACTTGAGTGTGCTATCCCTTAGAGAGGATGGAATCGAAATAAAAAAGAAATGAAGAAAATGTCAACCAGCAGCAGTTTCCTGTTTCATATCTGTGTTAGTTTTGTATTATGAGTAGGTCTTATAGGTTAATACAAGTATAAATTTGTAGCTAATTTGTACTATTTTCAATACTTCGGGGAAAAGCTGTCACAAAATTAAGGACATACAATTTGAACGGTTAATTTGAAGTTAAATTACCTTTGACCATAATAAAAAAAAGTATTTTCTTATCAAGTGAATCTAAAATTTGGTAGCTCTGAGGGTGATTGTATTATATTAGAATGTTACAATAATGATAATACATTAATAATACTAGTATTATTATGATTATTACAGAAAAATTGACTTGTAATACAACTGCACTGTAAAATAAAAAATAAATACATATATTAATAGTTTTTCCAGTAGTAAAATTATCTTAAGATCTTCAGTTACACCCTCAAACGTTTATTTTGGCAAAAAACTGCAGGGAAGCCTTTTATGTTTCTGTGACTACTGGTTTACAAACACTTTTCATTACAAATGTAGTGACTGCTGTAACTGTCTGTCCATGAAAATGTTGGAAATTATGCTAATGTAAAATACAGCATAACTGGAGCACATTGCATTGCCAAATGCATGTTAAACTCACAGATGCAGAGATGGTGTTCACTGCATTTGCTGCGAACCGATCCTCTCTGAGACCATGAAAACACTGGATCAAAAGTAATATTTTTGAAAACAGTTAGGCCTAATACTTTATCAAGCAAGTCTTTTCTGTATTTATAAGCTAAATTTGATGCTAAATTAGTATGTAGTTACTGGTGTTCATAATCACATTTTAATGATGAAACAAGGTTAGATATTCTTACGAGTGTTTGTAGGACACGTGGCCTGATGATACATGCTCTGGCATGCTGTGTAATGATGATTATGTGCAGGTGACCCAAGTTTGACTCTAGCCTTTTCCGATTCCCTATTGGTTCATCCATTTTTCCTGTCACTTCTACACTTTCTTATGAAATTACAGGCAATATGAGAATAATTTTACTGTAGGGTGAAAGCCAAGCCAGACTGTGTGACATCGACTATCTTTTATGTCACGCTGTGTGATGTACAGTGCTTCTTCGTTTAGACTGGTCACGAATGAAATCGCTGACTGAATTTTTACCAGTCTGAGACTGTTCTGACATCCTCATTTACATGTGACGTTGAAGTGATACTGTGCAAACCGTTGCATAAATGCTGAATATGTAAGGCAAAAAAAAAAAAAAAGAAGAAAAGTTGTGACTACACTCTTAAAAATGGTTCCAAAAGGGGGGTTTCATTTTATTTCGGTGAAAACATTAAAAAAAAATAATTCTAAAGAGTCTTTTAATACTATAAAGAATCTTTTTTGTGCAGTGGAAAAATTCCATAGATGTTAAAGATTCTTATGGAACCATCAATGCCAAACAAGAACGTTTGTTTTTAAGAGTGCAGTCTCTGATGTCCCCAGAATGTGTCTGCGAAGTTTCAGCTCAAAATACTCCACAGATCATTTATTATAACATTTTGAAAATGCTTATTCTGTGTGGAAGCAGAAAAATTC